CAAGCATTTTTTTAGGTTCTGGGTAAATAACAGTAGTCTAATCAACATTTACGTTTATCATTGCATCAAACTGTATGCTTACATATGTTGCAGATTGATTGAAACATAAAAACATCAACACAAGAAGATAGTGGAGATCCTTTAAAAAATGCATATGAATTAAACAGTCAATGTGTTAAATTTGCGACGAATTCATCATTTCAATGTTCTTCTTTTCAGGGACTTCAGGATGCTATTTTTACTGCCGATCAAAAGCTGTAAGAAACCTTTATATTCTACATGTACATGCAACCATTGGCGGAGCTTTACATAGTAGTTTTCAGGAAGCACAAGAGGGAAGTATACATGTAACAGTAATTGAGCAATGTATGATTTAGAGATGAAAATTAATCTATTTTAGGTCAGCAGGATCTGCATAAAATTCCCTATCTATTTACACTGATATTGAATGTTTGTCACATAATCTTTTGACAATATAAATATATTTTTGATTTAAAACATTTAATTTACTGTTTTATTTCCTTATTTGGTCAATTAAAAGATTTTTGACCTATATACTTTATAAATATGTATAAAAGGAGTTTGATTATGCTTATCAACAGTCACATAGCTTTATAATTTTTTTGCTTGAGGAATATACTGATTGAAGGTAAACATCCTTGTAAATATGTTTAATGATCAATTTTGAAAAAAAAGGAAAACTTTATTAATTTGCAAAAAACAAAAGCTATTATAATAGGCTTTTACCGTGAAGTTTACCGGAGGGGTATATCACTTAGAAAAAACCCCCAGAAAAAACACAAAGAATGGGAGGTACGTGTAATTATATAGATTTAATGTGATAATTTTGCAGTACTAAGACCTAAGTCTGTATTTTTCAGACTTTTCAGTCTTTTAAAATTACAGTTTGGCTAAAAATGTTCAAAGGTTAAAAATTAAAAGAAAAAGACCTTTCTGGAAGCAACCTTAGTAAATGTTTTTCACGACTGCGCCTTTCAGGGTACTATTATTAAAATTCAACTCCTACGAAAAAAAGATGGGTTTATTACTTTTAAATTTAATCTACATTTTTAGAACTAAAATATGACATATCAAAAAGTAATTTTGATGAATTTCATTTCTTACAGCTCAAAAAGCAAAGATATAAAATGAAGCTGTGGTTTATTCTTTCGGTTTTAGTAGGGCATGTTTTATCTGACCCCGAGGACTTATACCTGGCATGTCTAGTTTTTAAACCGGAGCATGAATGTCTTAAAATTTTGGAAGGTGGATTTCCAGAAATATCTGGATCAAGTGCGTCTGCAGCTTCCTCCAGCGGAAGTGGAACAGCGTCTGCTGCGGCTTCAGGAAATGCAGCAAGTTCAGCCTCTGCATCAGCAACTGGTTTAGGAGGAAGTGCATCAGCGGCGGTGGCAGCAGCTGTCACAACTTCCGGCAGATCTGCATCAGCTTCTTCCTCTGCTACAGGAAGTGCACAACGTGGATTTTCTTTTAATCCATTAACTGGTAATACTCAAAGTATTACAATTCCGGAATGGTTTGGTGGATTTCGTGGTTCACCAAGTATCAGCAGTAGTACAAGCTCCAATAATAACGATGTATCAAGGATTATTCAGAGTATATTCCCTGATGGATCCGCCACTACAGCTGCATCCTCCTCCGTTTCCGGTTCATCTCTTCTCCAAAGCCCCACACAAAATATCATCCATCGCCCTTCACTCCACCATGCTGATCCTTGTAGCCATATTCACCCTGCTTTACGTGGGTCTTGCTACCGAGGGTCACACCGTCCATCAAGACGACCCCCTCCTCGTCGTCGACACTTTCAATTCCCACAAACACCATTGGAATTAGCGTCTAGTCCTGGACCTGAATTCCCATCATCGCTGGATAACAACCACCTGTTGTTTCCTTTGTGAGCAATTATATTGTAATACAGTGTATCGTCCTAGAATTTTATACAGATTATCAAATTGATTGAATGTACAATTATATTTTGTTGATTTTTTTTAAAAAGTTGAATTCGACAATCAGAGACATTCTTAAATCTACAAGTTTATATCATGGGTGGATTGAAAATTTCTCTCATGTTCTATTTTCGTCATATACGAACTCATTAGAAATATGCAATTTTAAAAAGGGGCTAATCTAAACAGCACATAACGGTTTTCTAAACACAAGTGCAATTCTGGGATTAGGGCACAAAAACAGGCCCCTAGTTTTTTAGAATTAGGATCATGGGCCAAGGAGGAGTAAACATGCCTTATCACAACCGCCAAAATCCCTAAATATGTATTAATTTAGCAGACCTATTTTTGTGAAAAGAGAAAAGAAGAAAACACTTGCTGTATTCTTCTTTTCTCAATTAACAAAGATTATTTCCATTTTGTGTCAATTCGATATATTCCGATGAGTTTGAGATAAAAAATACTACAGAGTTTGACACGTCTGTCTCATAATTAGATTTTACCAGAAAAAGACGTTAATGGCTATCTAACAACCAAGTTTTATGATAAACGTGATGACTTTAACTTTTCAATCGTCAACTTCTCTTACTTATTCAGCAATATACCTTCATCACGTGCATACGATGTTTATATCTCTCAGTTGATGCGATACGCAAGGGCATGTTCTACATATGAACAATTTGTTAAACGAGGTAAATTATTGACAAGCAAGTTGTTGAAACAAGAATATCAGCAGTCTCTTTTAAAGTCATTACTTTCGTAAGTTATATGGTCGATACAATGACCTTGTCAGCAAATACAATTTATCATTGCGTCAAATGCAGACTTACTTTTTTCTTACTATTTGTTAGGCCATAAAACATGTAAACACTGAATTGTCGTGACAGATTTTTCCGTTTTTTTCAATTATGACAAGGAGCACACAGTTTGAGTACCGGTCGGCATGAAATGCTCACTCCTCCATGGGACCTGATCCCACCTCCGAAAATTTGTAGGTCAGTGTTTGCTCTGCTCCAAGTTTTTGTACACATGTATTGTTTAGTAGACTTTTAAACTTATAAACTGTTTGTATTCTCCATATATTTCATGTATAAAATAGAAGGAGTAATTCGGCATAAAAACAAAGGCCTTACAATTGGTATAACGTATGTCAGTCAAAATACGAATCCACAAAAGGATTATTTTCTATCAAGATCAGTATTACGTTCATAGAAATAACAAAATGCTGACGTAAAAAGGTTGTTGAAATACATGTAACATCAACTTATATATCGGAAGCCTACCTCTTTTCCAAAGAGAATTGTACTCAAAGCATGGTCTTAATTACTTTCAAATACATGTAATTTGGGAGTCATAAACACCATTAACAGGTGGACTGGAATATTTTATAATAAAGAAACAATATCAACGATGAAAATTTTCAAAGTGAAATCTTTTCGTTTGTCATACAGTTTAGTAGTTATTTGTTCCAACATGTAGTCATCAATAGTCACTGAAACATCCATATATGAAACAGATGTGTCATATCTGCGGTGTTTTTTTTTTTTATTTCGAGTTCACTCGGAAACATTAAATCATATAGTGTATATCGTGTATACAACTTTCGGACTGTACGGACTGTGATTTTAAGCAGTTTTAAAAAACATTGCACCTCTCACTCACGGAATGGTTCAATCTTTAAGAGAAAAGTTTTCGTTCTTAGAACTGTCTTATTCAATATCAATTAAATGACAGATAATAGTACTTTAGTATTTACTTTTATATTTTTCTGATTTAAATGATCACAGCCTTCCTCTCAATAAGTACAACTATCCCAAGTGAATTCTCACAGCCCTCAAAAGACGTAAATCAACTTTTCCGTGTCTATGATATTGATTTACGTCTTCTGACAATGTAATATTTTAATCACGTTTTTGAATCTTTTTAATATACACACCTGATTTGATTACAAACAGACCCAGGTCTTGAATTGACTATTAAAATTCCAACCATTTGCAAGTGAAGGAAATTAACTAAATGTTGCACTGAATATAATGAAGTGTAGCCATATCCGAAAATAAAAACACTCATAAGTTGTTTTTCTGGTTAAAGATCGTCTTTGGCTACAGTTTGCCATTGCTTAGATGGATACCTCAATATTTATTGTATATTCCATATGAACTTAACGTTTTTACATATTAGGAGACTATTAACATTTGAAAATATTTTTTTGTTTATTTAAAATTATGTATGATGTAAAAGACTCTTTGTAAACAATTGTCTAATCTACAAGATAGCGAAAAGTACTAATGCTTGTATTGAATTATTGTATGATCTTTATATGAATAAAGAAAAAAATATAAATATGTATTCTGTGTGATTTGGTTTTATGCATGCATGAACTAATATTATATACATGTATCAAAATTTTGGTCAAACAATTTATTTAAGTAATCACTACTAGAGTTTGCGAAATTGCCCTATTAAGTGCGCTATAGCTCTTCAAAATGCATTTTCATATCATGCATTTTTTTTTTCAAAATTACTTTTTAGAAGAACTTTTGATTTTTTTATTTTATTCTTTAATTCAGACTGTAAAACCAAGACATTTTTATAGACATGAATTTATTAAATGAAATGATTATCAACATGTCATCTATGGGTCTCATAGATGCTAAACTGTACATTTTATGCTCCATTTAATTAAAATAATAGTCATTGAAACCGTCAACATTGTTTCCATATTTACTAGTATCTAGCTGATACGTACGATTTTATCGAGGAGAAATACTTTTTAATAAGTACAAAAGCAACAATCAGTTTTCAAGGACTATAAGGTCAAAAGCATGCTTAATTTCCACCAAATCTTTCAAACAGTATTTTATTCAGATTTTAAACCAAAGCATATCATGATCTGTCATAAAATACACACAAACTAAATGATAAAACATTGAAGAAATAAAAATCTACAAATACCAGAATATATATTAACACAAACATACAATTTAATACAGACACTTGAAAGACACACAATTTTGTTGACATGAGTATTTTTGCATTTATATGCGAAGAGGTTTTTTACCTAATCGTTCTATCATCGACAAAAGGTGAAAAAAGATAATAGTAGACTTATGATTAACGTGATGGATGGACGAATATACCCAGCACCACCACCAAAACCTGCAAAGAAAAAAATAAATGTATTTAATTAAAAAACAATGTATTCCTTCCTTATCATTTGAACATTTTCAGCTTCTTTTTGAGCCACGAAACTACTTTTTACCAGTTCTGATATACCGGTATAGCATCTATTGGTAAAGGAGACAAAAAAATTAATCATTTGAACATTTTCAGCTTCTTTTTGAGCCACGAAACTACTTTTTACCAGTTCTGATATACCGGTATAGCATCTATTGGTAAAGGAGACAAAAAATTAGATTTTTTCGTCTCTTCCCTCTTGGGCGGCCTGGAAGGTGAGGTCAAAATTAAAATAACTGTAATATTAAAAATCTTTACTCCTGCACATAAAGCAGCCATACTGTAAACATTATAATGAATATTGACCCAAATAACAACATTCTGAAATTAACGTCCCTGGATCAGAGATTCTTTTGCTATGGTTGAGTTCTATACATTCTCCCTTCTTTCCTCGGTACATTGAAAAGATCAATTAAGAGCAAGAATATGATAAGCAAGGGTTTTTTATCTGCCTAAATTCCATTATTGTCTAAAATTAATAGCAGTGCTCTATTTGATTATAAAGTGAAGGGTCACATTGCGTTTTTTCGATTTTCTTCTCTCCCTTTGTCTATTGTTATAATGACCAATAAATGATGCATTTTGAAAACTTGCTCTGTTTTTGAATGTTTAAAATAGACAATTAGCATGATTATAATGAGCAATTGTATCTTGCATTCATGGGAACATTAACCCATTGAGTCTCTTTTAAATTTCCCAGTTTGACCAGATAAACCCTATTTTCTAATGACAGTTAATTATTTGACTTACCCTGAGTGTATTTTGACCAGATATACTCCATTTCCCAATTACAGTTAATTATTTTCTTACCCTGAGCGTATTTGGAGCAGATAAAGCCTATTTTCTGGTTACAGTTTAAAGTAATGTATCTTCCTCCAAACCCTAACCAGGTGCAGTCTTTTGTACCATCAGGATCTGCAGGCTCGCCATGCCAATTTCTAGATATTTGTACAAGTATTTAGCTATCTTTTAAAAATAAATATTTTTGATCTTATTTTAAAAAATGTTAAAAATAAGATTTTCAACCCTTTTAAAAAACTTTTTTAATATTAAAACTACCAAACTCATGTGTATATTTACTTAATATTTTATAAAACGCCTTACAGAACAAATGTATTTTAATCATTTGATGGACTTTGCATGGTACTCACATGACAATATTATTGGGTGGATTGTCGGTCTTGTCTGGGTAGGTCCAAACGCCCTCTACATTCCTGTCATTCAGTCCTGTCCAGAACTGTCTTCGTCCACTAGTAGCTATAGGTACAGTTGGTAATGTGGTTTGAAGCCATTGCTGTAAATAAGACACTGCAAAGTCACACTATATGATAGACCCTGTATTCTAAAATTCCTCTACAACTACTTTCTTGGATGGGTGGACAAAAAGAAGTTTCTTAACGATAAGGAATTCAGCCATTTTCTTACATTTCATTTGAAACACTTCTAATGGCAGACATTATGTTGACCATTTGTTTTTTGATGTACCAGCATGAAATAAACTTTGTGCGTTGAATAGCATGTATGTTGTGTAGAAATGCAGGAAAATGAATCATGTATAAGGCAGATAATCAAACAATATTAAGATTTTATAGTTTTCAGGATAAGTTTAAAATCAAACCCACCCTACATCCCAACCTTCTAAAAAGCGACAAAAACACAAGGTTCTTAAAAAAATTGCAAACATCTATATGTAATTTTTATGCTTAGATATAATTTAATTTGACAAATGTTGGATAATTAATATACTTTAAGTAAAATCATAATTTTATTTAGAAGAAAAAGTGTAGCATTGGAGTTAGGGGGTCTATACTTGTGCTCTACTATTTTTAAAAATGTGACAAGAGTAAACAAAGCGAACTCATTATAAATACTGAAATACTGAGTCTGCTCAACAGAGTGAGCACTAGGGAGCTCTCGAAAACATATCTGGATAAGGAATTTTGGCGAGCCCTCGAGAGTGTTCGATTTGTTGAACACGCCTACCATTTCTTCTTGATCGTTGACGGCTACTAATTTAGAAGGTTGGTTGACATCTGTTGTCATGCTATAGCATTTAGTCTTCGCCTCAAACCAGTTTCTAGAATCATTTGCGGCAGAGAAATAGTAGCATTCATAATTATCACTTCTCTGCTTCCACCCAGGAGGACAGTCACCTACATAAAAATTCGTGCTATAGATTGCGTATTTAAGGAGTTAGGTCTCTTTTCAAGAAAAATGTATTGATTTTGCAACTGTGTGAATACAATAGCAATAAAAATGTAAAATGAATGCAAAACTCAACAGGGTCTCCCCTGCATAGAAATGAAAATTATATCGTATACAGTGTACAAAGAAAGTACCTTGATTAAGATTTGGGTATTCGCAGATATACTGGAAGGATATGGTACAGTCTTCATCGTTCCAGTTGTAATCTGCGGTAATCGCCGCGCAGTCCTCGTTTCCGTTCCATGCATTGGGCTCCTGGTTCCAGTTTCTGAATGGAACATGTAAGAATGCAAATTTTATATTCTAGTAGGCTTACGGAATTAAAAATGGAACATATTTATTAATGAATCGGAGTAGATTTGTTGTATTATAAATAGGAAGGGAATGTAACTCCTTTTGTAGATAACAATGAAAGAAGAGAAGGGGATGTCTCATTGCTATTTACATGTGTTAAATGTAAAACTTAAAAAAAAAAATTCAGATGCTTTGAAAATAAAAAAAAACATGTTATCCAGTAGAAGCAAATACTCAAATTAGCGCTTTAATAATTTCGGGGTTTAAATGTAATACAAAAGTACAGTTTTCGAAAAAGACAGTGTTTTATGTAGAAATGTCAATATATCTGTCAATTTTTCCCATAAAAAGACCTCTTACAGAAAGTCTTACTTACGATATAATTGAAATAGTACTCACACAAAAGACACGTTATATGGAGTGCCATCAGCCCACCTATAGTCACCTTCTTTTGCCTGATCATTCAGTCCAGTGAAGTACATAGAGTAATGACCGTTCATAACCATCTGTTGTTCTAGCCAATACTGTGAGGCAAAAATTATAATTACACGACGACAATCAAGAAATTAACTTTATATCCTCTTTCATCATTGATTTCAAACTCAAAAAAAGCAAATCATAATCTATGGACCGAAACATTTCCATATTTTGTCTAAAAGGAGGGACAAACACATTACCCTGTCATCTATTGAGTCAATTTTAAGGAGGTCGCCTCCAAGCTGTTGACAATTAGATCGGGCCTGTGTATATGTGGACCAAGGTTTGTCATAAAACTGGTAGCATTTGTTGTTGGCCCTCACCCATCCTCCACATCCCATGTAATATTCCGTGTGTACTGGAAGGAAGGTAATTACAGATTTAGATTAGGTATAAAAATTTAAAGCGCCTGCTGATATTTCTTTTTCATCCTCAGTGATTGATATTTCATATAAAAAAGGTTCAGTGATTATTGCTTTAAAGGCAACAGCTCACCACTTTTGGATTCCTTGTAACAGATATAGTTAAACTTTTTACTACAATCCTGATCAGAAAAGGTTCCATCTACTTTTAGTATTGCACAGTCTTCGTTATTGTTGATGTGGTCTGGTTCTGTTGCCCAGTTTCTGGAATAAAAATAATTGTACTCTTTGAAACAGTTAAATCAAAATCAGTTAATCTTAAAATTGTCTCTAATTCAAAGTTAATTACGGGTAAAAAGGAAAGCCCTTGAACTATGAATCAGTTGTACACGTAAATACACATATTTTCAAAAGAATGAAATACGTCACAAAAATGAGTTAAACGTACACATATTGTGGTAAATACGTATCTCCGTTAAACCAGCCCCAACCAGTGGCCTGTTTGGTCAGACCCGTCCAGAAAAATCTGTCTGTGGCTCCAACAACTGGCATTTCACCGAGAATATATGTCTAAAAGGGATGAGACAATAAATTTCGAAGATTCGAAATTAAAGAAAGTCAGATGTAAAGGCTCTTATCAAAAGTAACATATGTTAAAGAAAGCAGGCCTGGACCCGAGTGGCTATTTTTCCACAAAAAGAAAAATAGCGAAGGGGACAGGAAAACAATTTAAAAAATCTACAATTAATAATAAGAGATTTCCCCCGCATATTTTGATAGAAAAAGAGGAACTTTAAAATGTAATTGACAGCCTAGCAAATCCCCGATATATTCGAGATCATACAGCAAATAGGCATGATGAGAGCAACATTTACAGAAATTCAATCTTGATTAATAAGAATCAACTCCTTTTAGTCACAAGATCACGGTCTTTCAGCAGAATCGATCAGAAAAAAGTCTTTATTCAGTTAAGGTACTCACACCATCGTTAAGGTTATCCAGCGTCACCAGCTGGGCGGTTAAACCACCGGAAAAGGTCTTGCTAGCACACCATTGTTTGGCCTGATTCCAGGTCAATATCTGCGTGGGATCGCTATAGTTACTGAAGTAGTAACAGGAATTGTCAGTTATCATCCAACCAAACGGACAGCCAGTGTCTGTGACGAACAATGTGTCGGAAAACTAGAGATTTTAAAAACTTACAATCTCTTTTCAAGAAATTGATAAAATTGGGGAAACACATCATATAAAAATAGAACAAGGACCAAGTAGACCATTACCTTGTGTTTGATCCAGCTCGCAGATGAATCCCATCTTTCTTGTGCACTGCCAGTTGGTCATTTTGGCTTGGATGTTGATGGCCCCACATGTGTCCTTTGGGTTGTTTGTTGGGTAATGTTCCCAAGTTCTATGCAATCAAAATATATTTTTTTCTCTTCGCCAAAAAATTGGTTGTTAGTACCCTGTTTCGTTATTCGAAATGTGGAACGTACAGCTGAGTTCCTACGTAGTATTGCTTCATAGTATTGTTACAGATTTCTATACTTACATGGTATTGTTACAGATTTCTATACTTACATGGTGTTGTTCGCCAGAGGTTGGTTGCCGTCCCAGGTCCACATTCCTGATGAGGTATGTGTTCCGTCAAATCTAAGATCTGTGAGACTGGTCCAGAATCCATCTGTGGTGTATCCTGAAACCAGAGTCTTCAGAGACGCCTGACAAAGAAAACCATAAGGATATACTTTCTTCATTTACGAAAGCCTCAACAAAACAAATAGGTAGTATGATTCAAGCAATTGTGATATTTTGGCACTCTTTTGAAAAAAGATGTGAAATCTTAAAAAAATTATCTGTGTCGTTTTGCCAGTGCAATTATTTGGTCATAAATTGGCCTGTAAGTTTAAAGCATTATTGTTAAAGTATGGTGTTTCATATTCCAATTTTTGTACTTGATTTAACTACGGGTTGTTTCTACTTGATAATAAAATATGTTATGACCGGTCAACAGGGGATGCTTACTCCTCCTGGATACCTGATCCCATCTCTGGAATTCCCGGGGGTCCGTGTTTATGTCTAGTTCATATATTTCTATTATATGTTGTGTTTTTTATGAGTTCAAGGCTTCTTCATTATCTACACTTTTTTTCATTCATAACTTTAAAGTGTAGTAAAACCAAAATAATCACCATGTCAGCAGCTTTGTTAACTTGGACCAGACTGCTGAAGGAGGTACCACAGTCAAAGTTGGCATTCTTTCTGGAAACCTTCTTGGATGTGACCACTTGATAACAGTATCCATTTCCAAGGTCATTCCATCCCGGGTCACAACCCAGATTTATATAATCACTAGATGTAGAACCTAAAGGAGTACCGAATACAGATGCATTTTACAGAAGTTGTATGCACTTTGATTTATGAAATGCCCAATCTGCTTGACATGTGAATGATGTAGCTCAATATTAGTTTTAACGTTATATTTCATACGTACAGATAACTTTACTAAATTCATCCTATAAAAAAAGTAGAATGAAGAGAGCACACATGGAAACACTGATTAATTTTTTAATACGTGCAGTTCTCTTTTATTGTGATTTTAACGATAGAACATTCTATCTATAAACTTATATGATAACTTTTCTTGCAAGTTTTTATATTTCCAGTTCAGTATTAAAAGGGTTTCACAAATACGTTGAAAATTTAACAGTTTTGACAAGGACAATGCATATAGACCCTCTGATTTAAACGTCGTTAGATAAGTTAATTTGATAGAACAGAACAAAGAACCATACGGGACAGATAATGTACATTTTATCGATTCCCACTTAGCAACCTGTGACAATACAAATACTATGAACTTGAGAAAAACATAATACCAATACTGATAATATAATACAATAATAAAGATACTTTGTTTCACGGTGAATTTGATTATGTTTGAAGATAAATGCAGGTCATCAGTATTCATATCTATCTACTGTTTGTGTAATGTATTATCAGGGGTAGATTTTTGCTAACAAATTTTCCTCATTTTATCGTCTGACAAGTTCAGTAGAAAATCACTAAAAAGATTCTTTTTGATAAAGGAAAACATTTCTTTGGGTTAAAAAAAATCTTATACATAAAATCTTAATATGGTGTATTAAACAAAAATATTACATATTAAAGTGCACGATGACCAATTTACCTTTTTGCATAAAGAAAATTATAAATAAAAAAAATAAAACTAAACTGTATATTTAGAGAACTCGGGAGCTTGTTACAAATGCCACTTAATTTCAGAAGTTTAGAAGGCGGGATTGAGTAAAACAAATTTAAGCGTCTCATGTAACCAGTGCCCATATGACAGAGAAGGAAAACCTCGACGAGCACTTACCTAGAATTGAGAAGATGGAAATTATTCCAATGAATTTCATTTTGAATATTAAAGATAAATACTACAAATTATATAATTAATCAAGACATGATCACATGTAACCGTAATATACAGGGAGAGATAGAGAGATGACTTTTGATCAGACCCAGGACGACTGGATCAGGCACGGGGGGAGTTCATCACTGATAACGGAGGAGATACAGGTTCAGGTTCTATAACTGTGTATATAAACAATGTGTACTTGTACTTTTGCTAGGGGTGATACAACCTAGATCCCACAAGTACATTCATATGGGTAATAGAAGCATGAGAAATCTTTATCTGTTGATTCTTTATTTTTTTTAGATAGAGAAATATATTTGAGAGTTGATGAATACTGATAAAGTTATACGAGGGTTGTTCGAAAAGTTCGTGGACACCTGTCATATAGTTTTTATTCAACGTCATATGCTATCCAAATTGAAAGGAACATTTTTTCAATGAATTCAGATAATTTGAAGTAAAAGTTTTAAAATTATCATGAATTATTTTAAACCTTTTTAGGAGTAAAAACTGCAAAAATCGGACGGCGGATCAGGTCAAAATTTAGTAATTCACAAACAACACATTAAATAAACATGGTAATGTATGTAGTCATTTTCTCTGTAAATGGGAATAAAAACGAAAAAAATCCTTCACTTTTAAATTAAGAACTTTTACATTGATTCACATTCCAAATAATGGCTTAATATCTTGCTTCGTTGAAAAGAAATCAACGTGAGAAGATAGGTAGTCCTCACTGAAAACGACAAAAACGATGACGTTTTAGAACCTCACGGAGCATGCAGCAGATAACGATACAATTTTGTGTTTTACTAAAGTAAAATCCTGAAAAAAAAACTTTTAAAATGTTGGAAGAATAAAAAATATGTTACAAGCGAGTTGTGCATGTGTGTACAAATAGTACAGGCAGTATTTCAGTGACAAATACTCTGTACATTATCTGTCCCGTATGGTTCTTTGTTCGGTTCTATCAAATTAACTTATCTAAAGAAGTTTAAATCAGAGGGTCTATATACATTGTCCCTGTCAAAACTGTTAAATTTTTAACGTATTTATGAAACTCATTTAATACAGAACTGGAAATATTAAAACTTGCAAGAAAAGCTATCTTGTTAAATGTGCAATTCACAACTGCCTTAAGTTTGTTAATTTTTTTAATAGTCGAATAAAGTGGAACAAAGGGCAGTAGCTCTTAAATAGAAAAAAGAAGCATAAAGAGGTACTTATCCTCATAAATATTGGTAAATACTTCATTTTATCAGGAAATCATATAAAATTTACATACAGTTAAATGAAACTGTGTCACGGGGTAGGAAAATTAATAGGGATAAGATAAATTATCTCTCTTGAAACAGTGTGTACTTTCTTCTATACACCAAGAGTGTATTCGATTAAACAACCGGGGTGTATACTATGTTTGTGCGCATGCTCACTGCTTGAACTCTAGAGAAATCTAAATAAAACATCTCGTGTTGTTTAGTGTTTGTATAAATATTACGGAGTATATATTCCCTGTATAGCATTTGAACAGGACAAACAATTGATCAGTACAAACAATATCCAATTATCAAATAAAGAAACAGATAATTTTATCAAAGACCTCAACACTGAAATTAATTGTTTAACAAAATGTATTTTTTACAGATGGTTTGTACATGTGTTTATTGTATAAATACTATACAAATGGTTTGAACACACGTTTATATTATTGTCTCACCATACAATCAATATATATGTTTACAAAATAAACGTTTGTACAAACATGTTTGTTAAATTGAAACATACATTTGTATATATAAATATATAACTATAAAATCAATGTGTTAGGGGTAATAATTAATTTGTTGTACGCGGTGTGTATAAATTTTTGAACTGACTAAAATATATTTATTGAAATGTCATTAAAAATTGTTAACAACTGACTTTTGTAAAAGTGGCAATCAATAATGTTAAATCTAATATTTGGTTTTGTAAGACACAGTAAATCTTTGAATAGTTTTTCATAGCATATTGGTACTGATTGCAAATAAAAGAAAAAATGATATGGGTCTTTTGGTGTACCACATGAACAGTTAAATGTACAGGATAATGTTTCTTTTATAAAGATCATTAATGTTCCCCAACAAGTTGGGGAACATATTGTTTTTACTCTGTTTCTTATTATTATTATTATTATTATTATTATTTTTTTCTTAATGGGAAAATTTTTCACACATGATCTTGTACAACTACACATCCGACTAAGGTAAAATGTTCTTAGGGTCAGTAGACTTTTTGTAGACTTTTTAAATGAAGGTTTGCGCGCAAATGCTTGCAAGAGCGCGCACGTGCAACACATGAAATGACCAGTAAAAATTGCTGTAACTTTTCTTTTTTTGATGAATTTTTTTGAAACTCATAATGTAAGGATATATTGGGTATTGTACAAGATGGCATGGTCAAAATACAAGATCTCACGCGCATGCACGTGCGCTTCGGTGTGTTTGGCTTAATAGGTCAATATCTTTTTGTTTCTTGTCCTAATCTTTTGAAATTATGATACATAATACATTATGAAGAAGCATGATATATAAAAATTTTATTAAAGCATGCGCATGCGCGCGTGCTGCATCTGATTGGTGAAAATTTAAATGGCTATATCTCCTTTGTTTTTTGACGAAATGCTTTGAAATTTAAAACATAGTCATGCATTAGGATATCCAAAAATATGATATAGAAAAAAATTCATGAAATCACGCGCATGCACGTGTGCTGCAATCTGATTGGCTAAAACTTTAAATGGCTATATCTCCTTTGTTTTTTACGAAATGTTTGGAATTTTAAAATATAGTCATTCATTTAGATATCCTTCAATACGATAAAGATAAAAATTTAAAATACGCATGCATGCATGTGTGCTGCAATCTGATTGGCTGAAACTTCAAATGGCTATAACTCCCTTGTTTTCCAACCAAACAGGATGGGATTTAGAAAAAGATAAATATAAAGAACTCCTACAAGAAGGTGTAGTCATTATGCACGTGCGTGCACGTGAAATGAGTAAAATTAAAAATACCCTCGAATGAGTGTATATTTTAATAATTCTGGATTAAATGCTTTGATATTAAGTATATATAAATTTTAGAAAGTGTAGACAAGATAATATGGTCGTTACGAACATGAACACGCAATGCCTATTTTTAAATATATTTTGTATTTTTTTGGGAAGACCTTGATTAAGTCCAAATTCCATAAAGTATTTCTTATTTAATAGAGATTACAGGGAATATGGCACCAAAAGGGAGTTGGGGAGCGTTTGGGGAACATCTGTAACGGTCCCCGTTACAATTAGCACTAGTTTAAAATGCAATTGTGTCGTAGTTTAGTATGTATGATGTTAAGTCGTCTATTATTATGGGAGAAATAAGAAGGGGGGTCTGCTGGGTTTTTATGTATGTTGTTTTTAAAGCTGCTAAAAGATATGCTGTTCCTAGTGGTGATACTCAGACTATTCCATTGGTTTATTGTATCAGGAACAAAAGATTCCTTAAATATTTCAAGTCTATATCTAGGAATCTCTATTGCGTGTATCGTACTTTGATTCATTACGTCTTGTTGCGGGAACAATACTTTTTAAATAATCGGGTACTAAGTTGTGATGTACTTTATACATAGTATTTAGTTTTGCTACTTTTTATCTGCAAGAGGCTCCCATCCTTTTTTAAATTAAAATGATCTCTTGAAGCGATAATTGGTAACGTAATTATGGAAATTGCAGCATAAAGCTTTTTACAGATACAGCATGTATTTTATAGATTATTTATCCTTACAATATTATTTAACAAGTCAATACCTCCTGTATCAAAATAAAAAAAAAGTAGAATGAG